TGATATAAATGTCAAAAGTCCAGGGCTTCTTTAGGGATTCCACAGGTGCTGATTAACTTCATTATTATGATACAGGATTAGAAATGCCTCTGAACTCCAGAACTGCCACCCTGAACTGGCAGAGGAGTGAAAAGGCATTATCACAGGACTACTGTTAAATGGGTACATTTTGTTCGGTATGTATTCATGATTCACGTAGTCATGTATTCATACTCATGATTTCAGTGAGTGACTTGGTATATTTCACTGCATTTTCTTGCCTTTTATAGAACCCTAGTTCTATAAACTCTAGATTCTGTTAACGTGTCTTCAAATGATTTTCAATAGAGATGAAGTCTGAAGTCCTGTGAACCAAGAACAGATTTGGTTGTGTCCCTGTTAAAATGAGTTCTTCCACTGTATTTGACTGAGTGTGAAAAGAGCCCAGGTTGTCATCTATCATGTTATCAGCAAGATTTGATATCAGGCAGAGATGCATAGATAAAATCAATCTCCCAGTCTCCTCTTTTTTTTTTTTTTTCTTTTCTATTTTTTTAATATAAGGGATTAACAATATAGTAATGCAAAAACTTCATAATCAAAATAAAGCAAGTAGTCCATAGAAATGAATGAAATGCTCTAGATGGAGGAAAAACTAGAAGCTGACAATAAGACAAAAACCCTGAGAATCATCACAGATACTCTCATAAGTATAATGACACATCCCATGCCTCCCTTCATTTCTTTATCTGTTTTCCCATTATCACATTTCTTTCCTTTGACTCCCACCTTCCTAAAATTTAACTTGTTCTATTATTAGTAACATAAATAGTATTTTCCAGTTATTCTCTTACAAGGGTTCTTTTGTTTAACGCTTAATGAAGCTGAATTGTATTCGGGGTTAAAGTTTTTTTCTTTGTTTGTTTGTTTTTGTGTTTTAATTTTTTACTACATTAAAATGGACTAGTATTCATGAATTATTCTGTTATTGCTGTAATTCTGATCTGATTTCAAATACTTAGAAAAGTGTTAAAGTCAACAGATACTCGGTTTAGATTTCAACCTGAATTGCATGCAATGCAATTGAGGTTAAAAGTGAAGTTATGATGAAATACTATGCAAGATCCATTGCACAGCTGTTACCTTTTCTGTATTGACTTGATTGAAATTTCTTGCCATACAAAACTTTAATGTAAGTCCTGCAGGCAAGAGATCTTGCTAATGACAACCTGTATCCCTTGTTATAGCCTGCACATGAATAATGTAGCATAAATATAGCCAATGGCTAGGATTTGTCGTTACAACTTTACAAATATGACTGTGTTTCACTTCACAAATATTTCTTAGGGAGAAGTAATATTTTCAGGAGCTTTTTCTCCGTGTTGAAATCTTATTGTGCCTTTCAAAAGTCACAGCATATTGTCAAAATATCAGGATGTTATTTTGAATACAAAACTGCAAAATCTTCAGTTTACTGAAACTAGGACATATGCATCTTGATGCATAAATAATTTTTTGTTCTGAATAAATTCAATGGAAATTTAAAAGACAGCAGTTATGATAAATACACTTCTGAACATTAAAAAAATATATTACCCTAATTCCCACTAATTTTCTTGCATTTTTCATTTGAGCAGGCCTTGCTCAATTTATATGTCATCTCATACTTATGTTAAAACTAGAGCCATTTGAGATTTCAGTTTAGTCCAATACCTGATTCCCCTTATAGGACGTTACCTTGTTCATTTTAACCCGGTCTTGTAAATTAAGTTTTTTGGAGACACCATTAAAAGTACTGCTCAAGAAATGAATTCTATATGTAAATATGTTTCCATAATTCCAGTCATATTATATCTACTTTTTACTCTTTGTCAATCTTTCTTCTGTCAACGAAAGCTACATAGACACAGGAAAACATACCCTGAGACCCCCATGAGCACACAGCTGTTGAACAGATGTCAAGTATTCCCTAGCTTCCTCACTCCATTTCAACAGCATACTTATTCTGCATAATTTGATTGTTCAACTCATTAAAATTTATCAGGAAAAAATACATAATATGGGAGTTTGTAACATTCTATTTGTATTTAATAGTAACTGTCTGAAGCAATTTAATACATCTCAGTGACAAAGTTGCTCAGTTTTGTTTTTATTATACATTTTAAATTAACTTTTGCAGTGTGTCCATAAAATGTATCCTAGACAGAAGGAGACATAGTAAACCTGTCATATTCAATTGAAATATCACGTTATGCTGTAGCCACTACTATAAATGAAATAATATCCAAAATGTTTCATAATAGAAAAGGTCAAGTTGGCAAAATAACTAACTGTTCAGAAACAAATTTTAGGTCAGTGGACCAAATATCAAGATGACTGTCAAAGTAGGAATTTTATTAAATAAAAAGTTTTAGGAATGAACCTTCTTAACTGAGTAAAGGTAAAGATATTTAAATTATTAAGTTCAACAGCATATAGCATATGCTATTACGATGATCTTGTTTTCGTAGTTGACTGCTTTCTTACCTGAGTCATGGAACAAAGGAAAAGAAACAAGCTCTTTCTAATTTTCTTGTGGCCCCTGTTTGGTTGTGTTGGTGGTGATGGTGGTGGTTTATTTGCTTCATAACGACACGCTATCTCTTTACTTTTTTTGTTGTAGTTCAGAGAGTCTGTTACATCTTTCTTCCCACGGGGTTTTGGTTTAAGAACTGTAGGGACTCATCCTATCTAGACAGCCCTAAAGCCCCACCTCCTATGAGTGCAACAGTAGCTATTCAAGTAACATGTGGTTTCACATGAAGAATAGAATTCATGGACAGTTTAAGGACAATTTATGAAAAAGCTTTTGATCATATTGCTAGGAGATTGTCTATTATTATTATTATTTTAATTTAAATTGCTTAAAGTGTTTTGCATAGCTATACTAGCACTGAAACTTAGGAAATATTAACTTTATTAAACACTCCACTCCTCAGTTCATTTTAGTTTTCAAGATAAGGACTGTGTGTGGCTGTTGAACAACACATGTATGTGTACTGCTTTCAATTTTTCCTCCTACTTTACAATATAAAGTTCTTCTGCAATTTGAAAATAAACAATATGACACTGTGATTTCTATTCAATTTCTTTTTCCCTTTCTCCAAATAAAGACAAAAAAAAAAAAAAGCTACATATAGCTCTTTCCAATCTATCATTGTGTTAATATTCTAAACTGTGATTTACTCTAAATGGAAGCTAAAACACTTGATGAAAATTAAAAGGAGACAAAATTAAAATTAAATGAAAGAGATGTGGAAACGAATGGAAGAAATACCTATCTCCAAGTCATTAAACAACTCTGTTTTTTTCCACAAGCTGTAGAAGGCTTTCTTCAAGGACTGATATTAATACTTCAGATCTCTGGATTTACCTCATTTCAGATAGTAGCAACTCAAAATAATCCACACAGTCTATTTTCAAAATGCTGTATTACGGCTGGACTGGCCTCTAGTGAAACTGAAAAATGGATATTAACATGGGACAGAAGAAACCTAAGTGAACTATCTTATCTCCAGAAGCAGTGAAGCATTGAAATGTAATCTGTACATTTCATTTTGAGTAGACAGGCCTATCTCAACTCAAACCTGTAAGTCTAATTGGTACTTGTCAGATGCTCTGTTCTGCTTTCTTCTATATCACTGTATCAAAAGCAGAAAAAAAATAATATTTTAGTATTGATCTGCATTAACAGAAAAAAAGAAAAAAAATGCAAAAGTTATGTTTAATGGTTAGGAATCGGTTATTTTTATGAGACTGGTATTAATCTTCATTTTCCTTCAAACACATTAATATTAATGTGAGACAGGGTTTACCTTACAGACTTGGCCTCTTTTCATATGACATTAAGAAATCCAAAATTTTGAAGCTCCAGTGATTAGAAGGTGAAACACAACTTAGTTTTAAATGCATTAAATAAATTGAAATATATTTTATAACCAGTTTATTTTACCTTGGTTTATTTGGGGAAATATGCCTTATTATGTGTTTTCCTTGCTTATATTCTGTGTACGCGGGCTATTTTAGGTTTGTGAAATCTTTCTTAAAGTACTAGTGAAAAAAAAAAAAAGGAAAATATGCAAAGCTGGTGCAATCTAGGGGATCTTGAAAAGTCTGATAATGACTGAATGAATGCTGAGCCTTCCCTTCTTCAGGTTAAAAAGACACTGAAGTTGTTCAAACTTCTCATTCTTGATTGGCATCCTTTACAAATATGGTGAAATGAGAGAGCTTTCTGTGGGTGTAACAAAGTAAAAAACTGTTCTAGAGCAGTTAATTCTTTAATGCATGCATTTTTAAATCCATTTGTACATATCCTTGGCTCCTGAGGCCATGTAAAACTTTAGAACAAGGAAGACTTACCCAAGGTGGAGGGGTACCAGGTTCAGAAGCACTTAAAAAACTTAAATGTACTTATATAGAAAGTGTCTGACAGATTGCACCCATGAGCTCTGAGCGAGCTGGCTGATATGTTGTGGAATATTGCCTTTGTAAAGAAGATTGAGCAAGACTCTTCTCCACAGTGCCCACTGACAGGATAAGAGGCAGTGGGCAATGAGTAAAACACATGAAATTATCACCAAAAAACACTTCTTTACTGTAAGGGTAGTTAAACACTGGAGTGGGTTGCCCAGACAGATTGTTGACTCTCCAGCTGTGGAGATATTCAAAACAGGACGGAACACAATCCTGGAAAGCCTGCTCTAGCAGACCCTGCCTAAGATGGGAGACAAACCTCCAGAGATTCCTTTCTGTCTAAATGATTTGTGAAATACAGACTTTCTACATACCTGAAACATTGAAATTGTATGCATATATAAAGAACAGAAATTGTACACACACACACACTCACATACATGTGAGTGCATGTGCACAAAAACTTTTTTTTTTTGCCATGGTCAAATGTACATATAGTGGCTCTAATAAGATTTCATAGTATGAAAAATATCTCAGTCAAATACCAGTTCCAACGGATACTTTATTTGATTTCTGATAGAGTCATTGACAGTCAAAGAATAAGTAAGTAGCAGAAAATGTTTGCAATATTTTCCAGAATCAATCAGTCCGAATCTACCAATATAACAGACCTGAAGTTACTTCTCATCAAGTTTCATGGCTGCTGATAATGTATTTTAAAATAACTTGTCCACAATCTGTAAAACCCTAGGAATCTTTCCAATACTTTGTGGAGCTAAACTCTACCACAGAGATCGCTCACTAAGAAAAAGGGGGAGAAAGTATGAAGGAAAAGGGTTCAAGAGTTGAGATAAGGACAGGGAGATCACTCACCAATCACCATCACAGGCAAAACAGACTCGGGGTAGGACGATTAATATAATTTATTGTCTGTTACTAACAGACTAGAGCAGTAAGAAACTAAAAGCAAACTAAAGACACCTTCCCATATCATCCACCTTCTCCTCACCTCAGGTAGCTCAGGAGAATGCAGAATAAGAGTTGTGGTCAGTCTGTAACACTTTGTCATCTGCCACTCCATATTCACTCTCTTCCCCTGCTCCAATGTGGTGTCCTTCCCACAGGATGCTGTCCTTCCCAAACTGATCCTGAGCGGGCTTCTCACAGGCAGCAGCTCTTCAAGAACTGCTCCCACGTGGCTCGCTACCATGGGGTCCATCTGACATGAGCAGCAGCTCTTCCCACGGGCAGCAGCTCTCCCCAGATCCCCTGCTCCTGCATGGGATCCTCTCCATGGGCTGCAGCTTCGGCCTGGGACGTGCTCCTGTGGGGACTCTCTTGACTCTGATCTCCCACAGGCCCTCCCAGCATCACCTACTGGCTTGGTGTGTCCTGGCCGAGCAGCGTGAAGGTTCCGAGGTTGCGAAGGATCTGGGCAGCAGACGACGGTGACACAGCTGACAGCACTGCAGCCAGTGCATCGGGCAGGCAGGAGGTGGCAGTGAGGACTGCGGGCCAGCGCCTTCCCTACTTTTGCTCCACAACGAGTAAGACCATTCTGCAGGACATTCAGGAAGAGTGGGAAGAGAGCCCCAGGATAGAAGCTGTGGCAGAAGCAGACGACGTCCTGCCCAGCACGTCTCCTGCCCCATCTGGTGAGGCAGATGCCAGGCCTTCAGCTGCTCCTATGGCCGCAGTTCCTGGGCCCGAGGAGCTCCCCCCGGCCTGCATGCCCAAAGAGGGAAAAGCTTCAGCCTCTCCCCTGGCTGCTGCTATGCCCGGCCCTTCCACAAGCAGCCAGAAAAGACCGCCGACATTGAAAGACCGGGTCAAGATCAACTGGGATATCTATGGGTGCTCCTCCTTTCGGCCAGCAATGCAGATCATTCCGAGCGGGGAGAGGGAAGGCTGCCAGTTGTCCCGGTGGAACGAGTCCTGGCCGAGCAGCGTGAAGGTTCCGAGGTTGCGAAGGATCTGGGCAGCAGACGACGGTGACACAGCTGACAGCACTGCAGCCAGTGCATCGGGCAGGCAGGAGGTGGCAGTGAGGACTGCGGGCCAGCGCCTTCCCTACTTTTGCTCCACAACGAGTAAGACCATTCTGCAGGACATTCAGGAAGAGTGGGAAGAGAGCCCCAGGATAGAAGCTGTGGCAGAAGCAGACGACGTCCTGCCCGGCACGTCTCCTGCCCCATCTGGTGAGGCAGATGCCAGGCCTTCAGCTGCTCCTATGGCCGCAGTTCCTGGGCCCGAGGAGCTCCCCCCTGCCTGCATGCCCAAAGAGGGAAAAGCTTCAGCCTCTCCCCTGGCTGCGCACCCTGTGTTGGAGGCCAGGACAGCACCTCTCACCCCATCAGCATGTGAGGAAGAAGAAGCAGCACCTTCTCCCCTGGCTGGGGGCCTTCTGCAAGAGGTAAGCAAGGTATACCTTCCTCGTCCCACAGTCATGGAAGCCACAGACCCCTGTCGGTGGGCCTCGAGGCCCCTCATCACTTATCCATCTGGCATCGGGGGCATCGGGGCCCGGAGCATGGCCAAACAGTGGCCCACAGGGCTGTGGTTTTCTCTCCCCATGCAGGTTTCCTCCGAGCATAGAAGCAGTGCACAGTGTTCCTCACACTTCCAATCGGTGCCAGAGGAAGGGCCAGGTATGTCCTAAAGTATGGAGCCATCCCAGCCCACGGCACGGAGGCTGGCAGCACTCCACGCACAGGGTCCCTCCATGTCCAACTGTCCCCTCCCCAAGGGAAAGCCTTGGTGGCGGGGGCAGGCAGGACCATGCCCAGTTCCATCCCAGCCCCTCACGTACAGCTCTCTGACCCCCACAGGCACCGCTGCCCTCCCGCACGCTGTGGCTCGCTCGCGATTGCCCCGCCTCTTCAGGAGAGCACTTCGGGCTCTCCGCAGGAGTTTCTGCTTCAGCTGCATCACAGAAGACCTAGAGCAACGTGAGGCTGACAGTACCAGGGAGCTCCCCACAGATGGCAGCTTCGGTCCCGAGGACGGGGCTTCTGAATAAAATTGTTCAGGACTATTTCATAGATGAGGGCTGTCTCTTCTGTTCTGTTCTGCGTGCATGGGTGTCTGTGGGCTGCGTGTGCAGCTGCTGCGGTCAGACCCTGGGGCAGGGTGTCCCCATCTCCATGCTGCTAGTGCCTAGAGGGTGCACAGGTTTGTGCAGCAGTACTACCATGCAGTACTCTTGCGTGGGCTCCTCTCTATGGGCTGCAGCTTCAGCCCAGGGCCTGCTCCTGTGGGGGCTCTCCATGGGCCGCAGCTTCCTCCAGGCCACATCCACATGTTTTATAATGATGATGATGTTTTTGTTATTATTATTATTATTATTATTATTTATTAATTAATAATATAATTAATACATAATCATCATTTAATAATTATTTAATAATTACAATAATAATAACAATAATAATGGATTCCAGGGCAGCGATTCCAAAACTTTTGTCATGAAGACTGGTTTCCCATGTACATGAGAGACGCATAAAGAAATCGCAACTTCTTTTCACCAAAGTCTGAGTTGTTGTGATATCATTGTGGTGAAAACACGCGCTTTTCACCAAAGTAACTTAATTTAGGTAAACTTGGTCAAACTAAGCCCCTTTGGAGATATTGGATGGCAGGCCTTACCAAATGCCGGACAAAGGAGAAGAGCTAACACATTTAGGAAACCAGTATTTGCAACATCTTACAGTTTGGTGCAAGCAACTAGAACAAATCAAGAAGAATGTTTTAGGCACTAGACCTTTTATTTGCCTCCCAAGGGGAAGGATGCACTTGAATCAATCTTAGTTGCTCTATGTGTGTAAATGAGGCAGGAGGAATTGAGACTGAGCACGAAAACATTTGGGGAAAGACTAAGGTAATAAGGTGATTAGTCTAAGGTGATTACGTAAGGTAATTCAAGATGACACCTCCTGGCGTTTTCGAGAATTATGCAACAAAATAACCTTTTTGGGACAGACCCTTGAGGATGTCTGGGTCAACCACTGTGCTGTAAATTGTAGACCTCATCTTAGTATTCTTTTTAAAAGCAGTTAATAAGCAATGACTTTGATTAGAACACTAAAGAACGTCTCTTCATCAAAGGCTGCATCTACTTAGATGTGGGGATGGAGCAATAACCTATTTTTGCAACAAATGAGTATTTGTTGTAACAAATGAGGATTTGTTCTTGGTGCTCTGTGCGTGAGTGAATGAATGAAGCGGCCCTGTGGCTGCTGCACCTTCTGTGATGATGGTAGCAAGGAATGCCTATGTTTCTGCCGGAGCTCTTTCTAGATTGTGAATTTATCCAAACCGTGTTCTGTTCCCTTGGAGGTACAGTAACGAGCAAGACAGTCCAATTGGAGAAGATCAGTAGACCAAAGCAGCTAAGGCTAAAGGCCTTACGTATTCGTCATGTGGTTCCAGCGTATATGAGCATTGGACTAGATTCATTTGGCACCATTGGAAGAAAATGCCTGCAAAATTGCATTCAGATCTCTTTGTAGAACAGGTGATTAGTTTGGCTTTTGATCTCCCGTTTCGGGCTTGCAATACATTGATTTTGCACCTGAAACAGATCTCTCACAGAAACAGATCTGTTTCTTTAGAGAGAGCATTCATTCAAGTACCACTAATCCTCTCTGAAACTCCAGCTGCATGGAGTAAATGTGATGACTGGAGATTCATTGCAAAACTACATTCTTGCTCCATCCCAGCATCTACTAGAGATGCAGCCTTTGAGGAATAGATTTTCCTTAGTGTTCTAAGAAGAGCTGCAGCCAAATAAACTGCCTTCTCCTAGGACCACTACAAAAAGATTTCTGCTCTCCATAGCTTGTCTAGCACAGGGAGTCTTGGTCAGAGCACAGTCGCTTCTGACACTTGGTGCATGACACTTAACAGAGACTCACAGTTTACACTGAGGTCAAGCTGAAAAGGAGAATCGTGTTGGAGCTGAGAAGGTGACAGAGACATATTTAGGGTAAATGAGTCATTTCTGTGCCCATTTCTTCCATGCCAAATAGGAACGGAGGGAATTCATTTAACACTTGTCAGTAACTTAGATCACAATAGATTTGATTTCCTAATTGTTCTGATAGTACAGAATTGTTCTGATAGTACATTTTCCTGTCCACTGTGGGTCTGTTCCACTTCCTAGAGCAGTCCAGATGGATTCTGCCATCTGTCAGCAGAATTTTACAGAAACTTCTACTGAGCACAGTCTACATGGATAGAATAGAAACCATGTTAACTTACTCCATCCTGCCAAATGAATAAGTATTTTTTTAAAGGATTAAGCATCACTAATATTCTTTTTTTTCTTTCTTTTTTTTTTTATTTCTTTTCTTTGGGGGGGTGGGGGTCTGTTTTCTAGACTTCACAAAATAGATCATGGCAACATTCTATTGAAAAATATACAAACAGTTATCTTAAGCAACAAAAATGAATATGAAATGAATGAATGAATGAACTGAGTGAAGGGGAGAGTAGTGGAGAAGAGTGTAGGGGAGTGTAGGGGAGCAGAGTGTAGGGGAGGTGTTTGTAGGGGAGTGTAGGTGAGGAGAGTGTAGGGGAGCGTAGGGGGGTGAGTGTAGGGGAGTATAGGGGAGGAGAGAGCCAGGGAAGGAAGTGGAGGGGAGGAGAGGGAAGGGGAAGGAGGGAATATTGCCTTATCTGTTACCTTTTTACTGTCTTCGTATAGAGCCTTGACAGGCAAAATAAACTATGTTGGTGAAAAGGACGTCTTTGTCTGATGTGATTCCCGCTCCCCCAGTTTAAATTAATCAAGAATAATCTGCTCCTGGTTGAGGTCTTCACTTACTAGTGCAGTGCTAGGACCTACATGCTCAATGTGCTGAGGATGTGCAAGAGTCTTAGAAAACAGTCATGTTTTCCTCCCTCCTTGCTTCTTTATGAAATAAACATGATATCATCCAGCACTGGGCTGTTTTTCATGACGGAAATTCACTTCTACCCTGCACAACAAAGCTTATGATATATCCAGACCAGAGCTAAGCCGTCAGCTTGGGCAGCCACTGTCAGGCGTTCGCTTCTGTGCAGTCACCCCTTGGGGAAGCCTGTAACTGTAACAAGCTAGGAGCAAACACAATGAGTTTATCTAAGTAACATGGACATCTGATAGCATTTGCAGCGATACCTTGCCAGGCCCTATCCCCACAAATCAGAAAAACATCAGGAGATAAGGCCAAAGCTGTACAATTGTTCCAAACACTGTAGTTGTTACCCCTTGTCTCCATGCTATAAACCCCTAAACCCTGTTTAGCAGCGTCATTGTAATCACAGGTGTTATTTGTATTTCTATACCCTTATGGCCCTTTCCAGGTTCCTGTACAGGATTCATCTGATAGCCACAGCTACATTCACATTTGTAGCCACCTTTCAGGTTGATACAGATTTGACTACAGATACCAGGGTTTTGGCATTCATCGATATCTCCACAGTTTCTCTTGTCTACAAACTCAAACCCAGCTGGACAGTTACATTCATTTATGTTGCATTCCTTCAGGGGCTCATCACCCCAGTCCTTGCAGTCTCTCTGCTGGTTACACACTTTATTGATATTTATGCATTCTCCACTTGAATTTGCCAGGTCCAGAGCACTGAATAACATTGTTACAGTTTGCTTCATCAGTGCCATCCAGACAGTCTCTCACACCACTGCACTGCCTACTCCTATGGACACAGTTCCCATCTTCACATCTGAACTGGTCTGGCCTGCAGGTCTGAGAAGGGCAGTTAATTTCATCACTTCCATCCTTGCAATCAGGATCTCTGTCACAGTGTTTTTCACCATCACATTTCCAGGACACTGGGATACACTGGGTTGACTGAGGACCACAGCTGATTTCATTTACTTGGCATGTTCTCATAGGACACAGATCAGCACTCTCACCAGACCCAGCAGCAGTGCACAGGCCCGCGAGGGCGAGCAGCAGGCAGACTGCCCTGTCAGCACGGCAGCACCCGCTGCCACCCCGCACCTGTGTCACTTACACTACTCCTATTACCCGTGCTGTTACTGTCAGTGGCATCCTCCTGGTACCGTTTCTGTCTTTGTCGCCCCTTACTCTCCCCCTTTTCTTTTTGCCACTGACCATTCACCACAAATGGATGAGACACATGATTACTAGTTAGGAAAGAGAGTGTAACGTCTGCTATACGGCTGCAGGCAGTGCCAGCTGCAACCTTAGAAGCTGTTTGTGAACGAGCCTGCCGGTGGTCATTTGGCAGTGTAATCTGCGTCTCTGCACTCCTGCCCCGCAATAGAGCTAAATCGTCATTAGTAATCTGTAGAATGTGGCAACCTCACGGAATCTTATCCAGAAACATAGTTATAACACCGATCTGGGGACGAATAGTCTTTTTTGCATTGACAGATAAACCTCTTATAACAAGAATGCCAGAGAGAAGCAGCACAGCCGCCGCTGCTTCCATGGTCCCGTCAGACAGGCTGCAGGGTCCTGATGTCCACCCCTCTGCTCTGTGCCCACTCGCCACAAGGTGAAGGTCGGCTGCCGGTGTCCACTGACGCCTCTGGTCTCCCGTAGCAACTCGATCTCGGATGTCCCGCATCGCACCGCGATTACTTCAATTTCACGCGATTACTTCAATGTCCCGCGTTTTCTGCGGCTCCGTTTCCCGCATCCCTCCACGATCCCTTTGTTCAGGTCGGTGTGTAGAGTGTTTCAACATCTCTCAGGTGTTTCGGCGTCCGCCAGGTCTGTCCTTGTCTCTCGTAGTTGGCCGTAGCCCTGCAGCGTCACTCAGTGCTCTGTCCGTGCGGTGGTAGGCTTGCCGTGTGCCTCGGGTCTCCCAGCGCTGCTCCAATCTCCCGGCCTCAGCCTGTTCGGGTCTCAGCCTATTCGGGCGCCATATGTTGCAGGAAGCATGGCCGAAAGCACGACAGACACCAGCAGAGTCAGATCATGCTCCATTTTATTGCCCGAATAGCCTAACTTTTATAGTGAACTTAACAGGGGCGGACAGTGTTTCACACAAGATTATTGGTCAAAA